AGGTTAAATGATTGGTTGGTTGGTTGGTTGGTTGGTTGGATGGATGGTTGGCAGGTTAAATGATTGGTTGGTTGGTTGGTTGGTTAGCTGGTTTGCATACAAAAGATTATCTTGAATGAAAAAAACAAAGATTTTTTTCCAGTCAGGTGACTGCAGTTGCCATGAAACACTGAAATCAAACACCCAGCTGCTTTGTAAAGCAAAATTAATTATTAATTCAGCTTCAGCTGCACGTTGACTACAGCATGACAATCATTCAGGCTGCCTGCTGTCTTTTAACATAGAAAAATATAATTCAAAACAATGTCGTCTTTCCTGGAGCACGGGTGTATCAGGACTGCAGCAGTGGAGAAGGTAGTGGCACCAATCGCATGTCATCTGTGTCASTTGGTGCTGCTGTGCGACAGCGCAGAGGAACCAGAACTTTTCGGCCAACTGGAGCTGGAGGCTCAGGTTGTAGCTAAAGCCACTGAGACCATGGCAGCAGTGGTCTCCAGGTATTTATWTAATATATTGTATAACATATGCTAAAGTCCATAATAGTTTGAATTTTACAAGAACCTTTTGCTACATATCTTTATTTTTGCTTTTAGGCAAATAAGTGAGACTGAGGATGAAGTTTTGCACGTGGAGATGTCGTCTCTGCTTGAGTCGTTCAGCGTGTCAGGGCAGCATGTGCTGCTGGCAGCTCAGAAACTCACCATCCAGCCCAGTTTACCCYAGCACAGAGAGGAGCTCATCTCTGCCACACAGAACGTCTTCCTGGGTGTAGTCAAAGTACACTTTTATTTCTCTCTCTCTCGCTCGTGTGAAAAAAGATGACTGACATAAGAAAATTCTCCACATTTTTTTGTATTATTTCTTCAAACAGAAGTCAGAATGAAAGGAATGCTATGGACCAACATCCAACAGTTTGAACAGCTGAATCTGTATTTTATTTCGTCAGAAGTTCCCATTAATGGGAATAAAAGTCTTTGCAGGATTCACCAGAAACAGCTGGGTTAGTTTTAAAACAAAACAATTCTCAATCATTTACGAAATTTAACCTCCAGTGCTGTCATACGTAATGTAATTTGTTACCAGATTCAGAACACAAGTAGAAATTGAATAAATCTGTAATAACAGCCATAATTTACAGAGTAACATCTAACCTCTAGGCTGGTGGGTCTTTGGGTTTAATCATAAAAGTAGAAATGGGTCTGGGGTTTACTGGATTAGTTTAGCTGGTTTTATCTTAAGTAATTAAATTGAGTTYACTCCAAAAGTTCAATCCYTTTTAGATGTACATCGTTTGAGAGTTTCATTAAAATATGTCGATTGGTTCGTGAGATATTTTGCTAYTGTTACAGACAAATTAACAAAGAGACATAACAAAAACAATACATTTGGTATCAGGCTATAATGAACGTCTGAGTCACATTTATTCACTATCAAATATTGGTTGAAATAATTCAGTCTGGTCTCTCTACTCTCAGGTTCTTTCAGTGGATGACAACGCCGTTGTAAGAAGAGTTGTAGCTGCCGCTGACCGAGTTTCGGAGTGCCTYACTGCACTTGGCTCTTCCACGGAAATCAAAACTCTTCTCAAATCCTTCCAGGTGTTTTCCGAAGCTCTGCTTGTCCTCAACAGGCTCACAGTGGACAGAGCAAAATCCCTACYGGATCCCAGACAAACACAGCAGCTCCTGGACTCCTTGGAAACACTGAGGAAGTGCATCTCCATGCTGCACACGGCCATGTGCACCACCATCAAACACCCGACCAGTGAGCAGGCCCAGGCAGCCAAGAGGTACATTCTCAACAAGGTGCAAAGCACCYTAGGAGATATCACTGCAACTCTCAGACGTGAGGGCAGCAGTGGACCGATGGAACCACACGGGTATTATACTGGGAGGCAAAACAGTTTGCTGCAACAACTTAGCAGTTACTCMGTCTCCTCATTTCAAGATGGTGGCTTTGACAGCTTGGTGAGAGACATTGTGTTCCACTGCATGGTCGTAGCAAACTCTTCAAGAAGAGAGACTCAGCAGAGAATAGTGAGCTCCTGCCGTCTCACCCTGCAGTTCTGGTCTGACATCAAATGGATTTTAAAATCCTCTGAGGACCCTGKTGATTTAGCACAATGCTTTGAGAAGACCTGCGCTTTGATGGTCCAACAACTACAAATGCTTAACAAAGCATTGATGTCTGCACTTCTTTATCAAGTTCTGGACACATTTCTCATGGCGTCTTTGACAGTCGCTGAACTTTTAAARGTGACAAAACGGATCTTGGTTGCAGATTCTGCTACGGCTTTGGATATGAACTTTATTCAGCCAGTAGTCGAAGATTTCATATRGTCCACCGACAGGATAATCCAAGTGGCAAACTTCATCTCAGCAGTCGCTGTGGATGCAAAGAGTTTGGAGAATGTGGAGAACTCACAAGCGTGCCTCAGACGGRTACGAGCTCAGCTCACAACCCTTTCCCTGGAGTTGGAAGATAACTTGATGCAAACAGCTGAAACACTTCATGGTTTGTGTCAGAAATGGAAGGAAGAGATGAATCAGCTACAGGAGGCCATCAGTGAGGTTTTGGATGTGAGGGAGTTCACAAGTCTTGCGATTAATGAGATGATCAATGACCAACATGGGTGCGATGAGGCATACAGAGAGCAGAGCTACAAACTGTTTAATGATCACACAACGCAATTAACTTCCCGCATGAAGCTGGTGATTCGGTTGGTGAGGAGGCATTTAGAGCGAAGCGATAACCCGATCTACAGGAACGGCCTGATGGTTCTGCTGAAGCAGGCCCAGTTGTCTCAAACCAAAGTGACTGAGTCCATTAGAGACATGCTTTGTGGTTCCACACTAAACGTGGAGATGTATTCTACATTTACAGGCAGGGTTTCCACAGTTATTCAGCATTTTAAGGTGCTCAGAGAGGGACTGGATGGCCACCAGCACCCACACCTCCTGAGCCCTCTGCGAGAGGGGGCGAGGGGACCTGAAACCTCGGTTTCATGCACAGCAGCTGAGGACACTGTTGAGACGAGCACGGATCATGTGGCAAGAGATTCAAGCTCTTCTTTTTTGGACGTGCTCAGAGGAAATACTCCAACAAAACCTGAAGAGGAGTGCCCACTGAAAGAAACCATAGAAGCAGAACAGGCTCATAAAGATGACAGCAGTGATTTAAAGATGCCAGCTGTCCAGGATGAGCCCGAACTGATCCTCAAGCCCGTTGCTTTCGACCTTTTACCCCTGATGTATGAAGTTGTGACTGTGACTAAAGAAAAAAATGTGTCCATGCTCAACCAGGTCTGTACCGGGGTTCTTGAACTATCAAACTGCTACGCCCAGGCTACGAAGGAAGGTTTAGCCGTTGTCGACGCTGTTGACTGTCAGACGTTGGAAAGCTTCAGAGCCGAGCTGGTGTCACTGACCCCGCWGCTTGTCCAAACAGCGCAGGAGATGGCGATGAGTGCAGCAATGAGCACTGAAAGCATCTACAAACTCAGTACACAGTTTTCTGACCTCATCAGCAACATTCAGAAAGTTTTACTGCCGGTAGCTGGAACGTGGTACCATGCTGCTTATGGTGAACTGCAAGGAAATCTGCACGCAATGGAGCCCAGTGTTGTGCAAAACCTCAACGAAGTGACGACTTTAGGTGCTCATGTTGTCCAGTTCTTGACATCGTCCGATTTAAACTTGCAATCCGACGGTCAGGAAACGATCAGTGTCTTGCACAGCAAGCTCAACAAAGCCCAGAACAACACAAGGCGTCTCATCGAGTGTTCCTCCTCGTTGGGGCGACAGGTAGACCAGCTCCAGGGACTCTGCATCCTCTGGGGTCTCTCTGTTCAGATTGTATTAAATTCTCTGGATAGGATTTTGGGCGCATCGACTGCAACAGTGTACCGGTTGAATCCTCAGAAACAGATGTCGGCACTGTCAGAGAACTCACTCCGAATCCAAGAGGCTGCGAGGCTCACCAGCTTCAACTGCAAAAGTGCTTACAAATCCAAACAGCTGGCAGGTGAGCAGGACGAGCTCAAAACACTGACTGAAGCGTATCTTAAAGCTGCCGAGGAACTCCACGCCATGCCGAGTGTGATGCAGCTCGCAAGATCAGAGTTCCTTCAGAGGCAGCTTTTGATTAAAATTAGAGTTCTTTCTAGTCAGCTAAGCAAAGCCAATAAGGACTACGATGCTGCTTTGCAGAATGTTGTCAGCCTTGCTTATTTCGCCGCTGAACATTTCAGGCATTCTGACGCGAAAGATGCGGAGCAAAAATTCGAACGTGCGTCCCAAACACTCGCTGAAAATATCAAAACTGCATCCGTAAGTGTGGACAAATGTTTGAGCTACGTTCGTGACCCACGCGCCCGCACTAACCTGAGGTCCATCAACGACCACCTGTCCTTTCAGATTTCAGATATCATCAGCAGGGCCAGGCTGGTTGTGGAGACTCACTTCATTTGTGACACGCTCAGTTTGGACGTGTTGATACAGTGCTGGGCTGCTAAAGCTCACTATGTGGTGGAGGAGATCCTGAAGCAAGATGAGATTCACCAGTGGGTTAAAGAGAGCATCAAAGCTGGTTTACAAGGCAGAACACCGGAGAACATTGACAAAACGTTGGATATGGTCTCACCTAACGTGGAAGAAGTGGAACGTCCAGATGCAAAACTTGCACTGCAGAGAGGCAACACAGAGACCACAGATGACGCAGAAACCAAAGTCATGACGGCAGCTGTGGCAAAGCATGAACCTAAAACCTTGAAAAGAGATGTAAGTACACATAGGCATTATAGGCAAATGCTAAAGGGGTGCCACAAATGGGGGACAAAAAACATTCTACAACTTTTCATCAGATTTAGTCTGCAGAATAATCACTGATTACTCAAGTTTATGAAGGTAACTTGTTCTACGGATTTTTCAGCCATGCACGATATATCGGCATTAATATCGTATCGGTCCGATAAGTAAAACTGGGCCGATATTAACATACAATATCGATTTCCCATGTTTTAGCTTTGTGTTTCTGTTTTGGGAGGGGAAATGGTTGGTTGAGTGGTGTTAGTTTGATCGTGATAGTGACACTGCGCTGCCAGGAATAACTTAAGTAGAGAGCCATGTCAGCAGTCTGGACATTTTTTTTTACGGTACTGAAGAAGATAAAAGTGTATTTGTGCATATATGTATACAAATAATTTGTGTGTTTGTGTAATATCTGTAAAAATTGATGTCGGCTGAAATTTTCATATCGGTGCATCCTTAGTGCAGAGGATATTTCGTTGTTTTATTAATCCAAGAATTTAGTCGATTGCTCTTCAAATGGATGGAAAATGCATTGTTTGAGGTAGATTTATTTATAAAATTTTCCAGGGGAGTAAATCCTTGAACTCCCATTAGAAATGCTTAACTCCACAGCTGCTCGTTAACATAAACAGGTGTTCCTCATTGCTGTCATCAGATGTTGGCAGGTATGAGGTAGACTTCTTCTCTTCTGTTTCAAATGAGTTGTATTTTTAACTATTTTAATTAGACAAACTGGTTTCTAAAGATAAAATACACATTAAAGACAAAACTATTTAATTTGTTATGTGAATGAACGCAAATTGGTAATGATATTTAAATACCTGCACAAGGGGTGCCACCTGAAATGTTGCCTAGGACGCCAAATTGGCTAGAACCAGCTCTGACAAGAATTTACATTTGCCATGGTAAATCATGCTTTGACTTTTCCCTACAGGATATAGCTGATGTGTACAAAGAAGCCTCCTCACTGACCTACACCTCGCTTTTTCTGAAAAAGAAGAGCGACACCTGGGACCCCAAAGACAACAAAATAGTCCAGGTGACCAGGAGGATGGCTGATGCAATTTGTCACATGACACAGTATTTGAAGAAGAAAGGCCCAATACTGGTAATGACCACAAGAGGTCACTTCTCTGCTTTCATCTTTATCCTAGCAGCACCGCTCATTAATTTAATCTTTATTAATTTTAGAATAAAGAAGCATTTGTTACCGCAGCTAAAGATGTTATCTCAAACTGCCAGTGGGTCACTCAGTTCCTCAGAGTTATTGCCAACCACAGCCTGGATAAACAGTGTACGGTTGAACTCTCCCTCATCATTGAGCAGATTCTAACCATCACTAATCAGCTCAACATCATCTCCAGGTCCAGTTACCATTAAACCACACAATGAATGTTAGTAAAAAATACATACATATGTGTGTGTGT